ACACACACACCCTCCAACACCACCCACACACCCCAGCATCACACACACACACCAACACCACCCACACCCCAGCATCACACACACACACCAACACCACCCACACCCCAGCATCACACACACACACCAACACCACCCACACACCCCAGCACACACACACACACACCTCCAACACCACCCACACACCCAGCATCACACACACACACCAACACCACCCACACACCCCAGCACACACACACACACCAACACCACCCACACACCCCAACACTCACACACACACACCAACACCACCCACACACCCACACCACACACACACCCCAACACCACCCACACACCCCAACACCACACACACACACCCTCCAACACCACCCACACACACACACACACACCAACACCACCCACACACCCCAGCATCACACACACACACCCTCCAAACACCACCCACACACCCCAGCACACACACACACACCAACACCACCCACACACCCCAGCACACACACACACACCCCCAACACCACCCACACCCCCAGCACACACACACACCCCCACCACCCACACACCCCAGCACACACACCCTCCAACACCACCCACACACCCCAGCACACACACCAACACCACCCACACACCCCAGCACACACACACACCCCAACACCACCCACACACCCTGACCACACACACACACCCCAACACCACCACACACCCCAGCACCCACACACACACAAACACCACCCACACACACCAGCCACACCCCACACACACCCCACACACCCACACACCCACACACCCCACCACACAACACCACCACACACACCACCCACACACCCCAACACCCACCCACACACCCCAACACCACCCACACACCCCAACACCACCCACACACCCCAACACCACCCACACAGCCCAACACCACCCACACACCCCAACACCACCCACACACCCCAACACCACCCACACCCCACAAACCCTATTAAATTCATTGAAACCACTGTCACTGACAGTCTCATCATCACTGACTCTCTATCCTCACTACTTGCCCTTGGTACCCTCGACTCAGGTTGTCACGCTCTTGTCTCTGAAGCCAGACACAAATATGCGTGCCTTGTTGACCGGGGTGTCAAGGTCAAACTGTTGTGGATCCCCTCTCACATAGACCTCATGAAACATGACAGAGTTGATGCCCTCGCCAAACTCGCATCTAACAAAGACACCGTTGATTACAATTTGGGTCTGTCAAAAAGAACCCTTAAAACTGTAATTAGGAAAGAACTTATTGATGAGTTTGATGCAAGTAGACTAGTGCAAACAGGCACTAGTCGACCCATAGATTACCATGATGAGAAGTATCAAGTGAAACATGTACTGTATATGGAGCAAGTAACAAGATCACTAGATTACAAAATGTTGTTACCGCTAGATTAAGGTTTGGATATAAGTACCTCTGGCAGTATGTTCCTCAAGCAGATGTAAACAAGACTAAATGAAAAGTGTGTGGCCAGACATATAGCCACACACTTGAACACTATGTCCTCGACTGTGTGAAGATAGAACCTTTTAGGGACAGGTCCAAGCACACTGTGTGTGAAATGTCACAACACTTAATCACTAATGGCAAGATAGCCGATATATTAAGATTGTATCCACTATTTTGCACTTAGTAACTATATCAGTTCTCGTGTACACAACCAAATACGCAATGTGCTTGAATACTTCTCACGTAAATGTGAATAACAAAGTGTGAGGCCAGACATACTGCCTCACACGCCTGTACTCATGCATTTGTGAATAAGTTACCCTTTATGTACAGAACTAAACAAATAATGTAATTGAAATACTGTGTAACATTCAGTGCCATAATATCCTGACAACGGGGGTTAATTATTATGACCCGTTGTAAGCTCTTCTCTGTAATCATTTTGCGCTCCGCTCACAGGATGAGTGTGGGGTGCACAATAAAGTAGCCGCTGTAAGCGCTAAAATCAAAATCACACCCCAACACCACCAACACACCCGAAAACCACACCACACACCCCAACACCACCAACACACCCCAAAACCACCAACACACCCCAACACCACCCACACACCCCAACACCACCCACACACCCCAATACCACCCACACACCCCAACACCACCCACACACCCCAACACCACCTCTACTACTTTGCTGTCACTCAGAATCAAGTATGTACGATCATCCAGCTATGAAACAATGATATGAGTTATTAAGGATGTCACCTTCGTTGGTGAGTTCTGAGGTGACTGAAAAGGCCGATACGGGACCGGCAGAGTCGTTTACAGATGTTGCACGTGTGGACAGCTACATCTAGGGAGGAGCGGCGGCAGTGTATTTCCGGCGGTGGCGCTTGTTTGCCTCGGTTTGTAGTTGGGTTAATTCGAAGGTATTGACACCTTCTAGTAGTGATCCTCCAAGTGTTATGGTGTGAAGTGATCGTCTCCCAAGTGAGGGGATCGACTTGGCACTTTTTCAGGTTTGTCTTAAGACTATCCTTATACCTTTTCAGTTGCTCGCTAGCGTTACGTAAACTATTCATTAGATGACTGTAAAGAAGCTGCTTTGGCAATCAACTGTCGTCCATGCTGGTAACATGGCCAGTCCAGCGTAGTTGTTCACAGATAATGATAGCCTCGAGGCTCGTACAGTTGGTGTCCGTGAGAATACTGGCATTTGTTCTCTTTTCTTCCCAGTGAACTCGGAGGATGGAACATAGACTACACTGGTAAAAGTTTTCAAGTGCCTTGAGGTGACTCCTTTATGTAACCCATGTCTCACTGCCATATAGCAGGGTGGGGAGGACCACTGCCCAATATACGTGCAGCTTTGTAGATAATTTCAGCTCCCTACAGCTGAAGACACAGGTACGAAGTCTGCCAAAGGCTTGAGATGCACATCTGATCCGATGCTAAATCTCTTCATCGATGTCCTCGGTGGTGGACAGGTGGGAGCCGAGAAACTGAAAGTGGGTAACATTAGAGAGCGTAGTACTATTCAGCTGGGTGGATGGTGGAGGTGTGGCTGAACCAGGGGCAGGCTGAAAGAGAATCTGAGTCTTATGTAGATTCACCTCAAGGCCAATGTGTGCATATGCATTTGCGTAGGTGTTCAGGATCTCCTGTAGGTCGCTTTCAGTATAAGCGACAAGGGTGAGGTCGTCTGCATACTAAAGTTCATTAATGGAAGCTGCGGACACCTTTGTTCCTACCTGTCGTCTTATGTAGAAAAGATCCTTCATCCAGTACTAGATGTCCACCCCGCCGGCTAAATTGGTTCAGGCATGAGTAAAAAAGGCAGTGAAGAAAATAGAAAAGAGAGTTGGTTCCAGTACACATCCTTGTTTTACCCCCATGCCATCGTGAAGTTGCCTGATTAATTTTGGTAGGCAGCCAAACCGGCTGAGGGTCCACCAGAGGGCTTCCCTGTTGATCGAGTTGAAGGCCTTTGTAGATCGATGAAAGCCATGTACAAGTCACAACGCTGTTCTCCGCCTCAGGAAGAAGTCTGTTTAGGAAGACTTGGTTTATAACCTGCAGCTACGGGCACCAGCGAGATCCTGCAGTGGTTGCCATAGTCTGACCTGTCTCCCTTGTTCATATAAATAAGAGCTTGGGTGATTTCCTCCTTTTCCCATATATTCTCCAAGAGAGAATGGAGATGGCTGGTAAGCAGAGGTCCTCCTGCTTTATACACCTCGGCTGGGATTCCATCAGGCCCTGAGGCTTTGTTATTTTTCATCTGTTTGATGGCAGTAGCTACCTCATCTAGGGATGGAGGATAGCTGAGGTGGGTCAGCTCTGGATGATGAGGGACCTGCTGGGTAGTCAGGACATCCACATTGGTGTTTCGGTTGAGCCTTTAATTAGGGAGTTACCGTCGGATGAGTGGAGGGGGGCTGCACCATGAGTGATTGGACCATAAAATGTTTAAGTAGAATTGAAAAATTCGCACATCTTGTGTTGATATGCAAGTTTTTTTTTTCACATGCTCTATTTTTAAAGCAGTCGTTCTTTAGAATGTGAAGTTTATGCTGGGCCACCTCTTTCTTCTTGGGGAAGGTATAGCCTTTGGTCCGAGACTGAGGGTTGTTCTGCCCGTCAGTTAAAGCAGCACGTTTATCATCTGCGAGTAGTACACACACACCAGGTATATTTTTTTCTATTAATTAATGTTTTAAATTATTAATGATGAAACCTACAACATAAGAGGTTAATCATACAAGAATACAATGAATAAATAAAAATAAACGTGAACGCTGCAATAAATAGCCCCACCCCCATCACCATTTTAACACTACTTTTATCCTCTTCACAACTGATTGGCTCGTTAGCCGCTTGGGCGATCGGTCCTGACAGATTGTTATTGTATTTGAAGTCAAATTTTATATATATATATATATATATATATATATATATATATATATATATATATATATATATATATATATATATATACTGCATGTTTTATCATTTGCGATGAAACATACACCCTAATAAGCTGAAAAATTACTGTAGGGTATAGTAATTTTTCATTTGTGAGTAAACAAGGTTTGCAAATATCGAATAGGGGTGTTAAAATATCAAGTGCGGATAAGTGAGGTTGCAAATAGCGAGGGTCACTGTTCCCATACTTGTAACATTTCATCGTGGATATATCCATAATCGGTGCCTGCCAACACCTGTTGTTTATCACGAATATATCCGTGATTGACCCCCTGCCAGTCAAATAAACAAAACAAAAAGATACAGTAATTACATAAAAAATTGTCTAGTATTTGGTAAACAAACCACTTGCATTTGTCAGATATACAGTACATGTGTGAACAAACTCACACAGGAACCTCTGTAATCTTCACTCATTTTTATCCGCTTCATTGTGCTTCTTCAAATTCTGACCTGATACTACTTCAAATGTGTGAACTACATCTTTCCATTCAAACTTCAACTATTCATATTGATCACTGCAAACTAATAAGTTCTTATAACTTACATCTTCACAAGGAGGGCATTCCTTCTTAGCACACTTTATATCTCCTCCCACCAAGCAGCTACAGACTTCACAATCAAATGATTCAAATACTGCTCCAGGATCATATCTGTAAGGTAATAATAAAACTTTAAACTTGAAGAAAGTACAAACAACTGTAAACTCCTCATACTCATTTGAAACTTTGGTACAGTATTGAGAAAGATCAGTTTTGAAAATGAGGAGAATCCACTTACCTAACAGCATCATCGAAACATGGACAGAGGATTTTTTCCACACAGGTATGGCCATCAAAATACCGGCCAGAAGAACAAGGAATACATGTGCTGTAGTAATAATGTGGGAGACTTGGGCAGGGGGAGCAGCGAGGAGGTGTTGGCTGTGTAGTTATCTCCAAGGGTGTTGTGGTTTCTATCTCATCTGTTCAGTGGAGATCTGTATTAGTCTTACATTCAAAGTCATAATTTATACAGTAATCCCTCCCCAACTGTAGGATTACATTTCTAGAATTCTCCTGTGGTTGACAAGAGCTGGATCCAGTGAGAAGTAAAGGGTTAGGGTTAAGGGAAATAAGCACAGGATGTATCTGCTGGTGATATATAAGATCCACCACCACTCAAGATCAGCTATTCAAACCCATTTGTAACAATCTAATGATATTAACACAATAAGCATAATAATTGTAAGAATGATTTAATAAATTATATAAATTGTGGTAATGAATGATTCTTTGAGAAGCATGTCAATGTTCTCTCTTACTGCCACTCATCAACTTGTTCATTTGTATTCATGTTGTTAAGTAATGACTACAGTACTTTCATCTCTAAAACTAAGTTATTTGCCATTTCTTGAAACAAACTGCATTTGTCTAACCAAGGGTGCCTGCCTTTTCTTTTTTATACATAATAAGCACAATTTGGGGCAATATCTCAAGAGATAGTTGCATACATATATAAACAAACTCTCATTATAATCGTCTCAACACATCAAGAAGGATTTAGTTGAGCACAACTAAATGTCAAAAAAAATATTCTTAGGTAATTTACAATATGAAAACACATTAGTCCTTTCATAAGACTTTCAATATTTTACTAAACACAGCCATAATTCACATTAAGACAATTTCAAACTACTTGCAGAGACTAAATCATTACCATGTACAGTATTCATGACCTCCACCTCACAGCCAATCATCAACTGACAACCACCAACGACCATATCCAGGATGAGGGTGTGTTTGCCAGGGGCTGGGGTGGGGGATATAGTTGACAGGATGGACAATATCTTGTCTGGTAATGGGAACAAACCCATTATCTGCCTCAGTGCAGGAGGCAATGATATTAGCCGGTGTAGGAGTGAAGAGCTTCTTGATAAGTTCAAGACAGCTATAGATCGTATTAGGACTAAGGGGGGGATCCCTATCCTTTGTGGTGTCCTGCCTAGAAGGAGAGTTAGCAATGATGGTTGTCAAGGGCAGTTGGTGTCAACGGCCGTCTTGACGGATATTGCAAGTCAATATCAGTCCCATTCATTGACAACTGGGACAACTTCTACGGCAGAAGAGACCTTTATGCTTGGGATGGGGTACACTTGTCTCGGGATGGGGTGGCAACCCTGGCTGGGTCTCTAGAAGGGGCAGTTCAAAAGATATCGAAGTCTTTAAACTGCTAGGGGAACATATGGGCACGGGGGTGGAGGAGACTGCAGTGGGAGCGGGTAAACAAAGTGAAAGATTACAGGGAAATATTGTTAGGAAAAATGACAAAACTAAATTAGACGGAGTTTAAACCTAAATGCGGTAAAGGGAGGACTCAGAACACGACTAACTTAAATGTCTACTACGTGAACAGTAGAAGTACGAGAAACAAAATGGATGATATTAGGGCCTTGGTATGTACCGAAAAAATCGATATACTAATAGCATTCACTGAAACGTGGATCAACCTAGACTCACGTGAGTTACCTGTCGAATACCAAATTGCGGATTACAAATTGTTCCATACCGATAGGCAGACCAGGAAAGGAGGCCGAGTAGCCATCTATGTCACGGATAATCTGAAGTGCGAAATAAATAAGGAAATAAAAACTGAGCGGAATACAGAAACAATTTGGATAGAATTAATCGACGGTAGGGAAAAATTAATCATAGGAGTAATATATAGACCTCCCAATCTTGATAGAGTTAATGAGCGACTTATCTGGGATGAAATGCGCAGGGCTTCCATACACAACAAAGTCTGTATAGTAGGCGATTTTAACCTTGGCCAAATAGATTGGACTGACCTTATGGGTAACTCAGTATCAGAGGATTTCCTCAAAACGATCCAGGACTGTTTCCTAAGTCAACATATAACCGAACCCACCTGGGGTAATAATATACTCGATTTAGTTCTGTCGAACAGAGAAAATCTCATTAGCAATGTCGAGGTAGGGAATGAACTTGCAAACAGCGATCACAAAGAAATTAGATTCCAGTTAGATTTTCAGGTCAGATGTAAAGGGAATTCCATTAAAGTCCCGGATTTCAGAAGAGCAGAATTTGATAGTTTAAAGTGGCAGCTAAGAGAGGGGGGTGTCGCGCTTGGGTGTGAACCTGACAGATGACACCGACCTGATAAGGAGATCTAAGATTGCCGAGTTCCACGACAATTTAAATAATGAGTTACTTAATGCACAAAGGCAGAACATACCATACAAAAAACTCAGATCAGACAACAATGACCCTAAATGGATAAATAATTATTTAAAGAACATTATTGGCCAAAGGAAGGCTATAGGTAGAAGGATAAATCGTGGGGAAATTTACCTCCAGGAGTATTATAAGTTATTGGCCGGTAGGGTTAAGACCGAGATAAGAAAAGCAAAGAGGAATTATAATAATAATAATAATTAACGGTTTATTGAAAAAATTCTGCAGCCCGAAGGCTGAAAATATACATTGGACATAAATGACTTATTACATACATTGGTGGTTTAACAAAAGCCTTCATTAGAGAAAGGTAAAGAAACATACAGTGAACATACAGATTAATGTAGGTGTTGAACAGCAAACTCATAGTGTAGTAGTTCCCTCAGATGGTGTTATGAGGGACCTGGCGTGGTGTAGTAATTCCCTCGCAGATGGTGTTATGAGGGGCCTCACGTGGTGTAGTAATTCCCTCACAGATGGTGTTATAAGGGACCTCCCGTGGTGTAGTAATTACCTCACAGATGGTGTTATGAGGGACCTCACGTGGTGTAGTAATTACCTCACAGATGGTGTTATGAGGGGCCTCACGTGGTGTAGTAACTCCCTCACAGATGGTGTTATGAGGGGCATCACGTGGTGTAGTAATTCCCTCACAGATGGTGTTATGAGGGGGCCTCACGTGGTGTAGTAATTCCTTCACAGATGGTGTTATGAGGGACCTGACGTAGTGTAGTAATTCCCTCACAGATGGTGTTATGAGGGGGCCTCACGTGGTGTAGTAATTCCCTCACAGATGGTGTTATGAGGGGCATCACGTGGTGTAGTAATTCCTTCACAGATGGTGTTATGAGGGACCTGACGTGGTGTAGTAATTCCCTCACAGATGGTGTTATGAGGGGACCTGACGTGGTGTAGTAATTCCCTCACAGATGGTGTTATGAGGGGGCCTCACGTGGTGTAGTAATTCCCTCACATATGGTGTTATGAGGGACATGTGGTGTAGTAATTCTCTCACAGATGGTGTTATATGAGTGAGGTTTGGTCTTAGGCCTTCCTATCGTAGACGGATTAACACATCGCTGGTTGTTGTTGGGTCTCACAGGCCGTTATCACTGGGTACCTGGGACCTCACTGTGTGAAGGTCAACTTGGGTACGACTGTTACTGTTGAGTTGTTCTCACTGACTTAAGCACTGTTCACCACTGTTCACCTCTGTTTAACACTGGTTCCGTTCCTTTCCTAAATGAAATTGTAACTTCTGGCGAGAACTTGTTGATATTCCGGTGGGGAGGACGGTTCAGGGGAGGGGGTTGGTATGGGCCAACTTAACAGTTGACCTGGCTGCTCCGAGAGGAGCGCCAGGTACGTCTTGACCCTTCGGTGGTCAAGGATGTAGTGAACTGAATATAGCAGGGGAGGAGAAAACAAACCCCAAAGGATTCTACCAAATGCATCAAACTAAAACACGAGATAAGATTGGACCAATACGTTCAGATACCGGCGAGCTAACTGATAACGACGGAGAAATGAGCAATAATCTGAATAAATATTTTTCAACAGTTTTCACCACCGAAAATTTAAACGTGATACCCGAGGCACCAACTCTATTCAGAGATAGTGAAGAAAACAAATTAAGCGAGATAGTAGTGACTAGTAACGATGTTAATAAGCAAATAGACAAACTGAAGCCTAATAAGTCACCTGGTCCTGATGAGATATTTGCCAGAGTATTAAAGGAATATAGGGAAGAGCTTAGTATGCCCTTAGCAAAGTTGTTTAACATGTCCTTAAAAACAGGTGTAGTACCAGAATCCTGGAGGATAGTGAATATAATTCCGATTTTCAAGAATGGGGATAGATCACTATCGTCTAACTACCGCCCAATCAGTCTAACATCAATAGTAGGCAAATTACTAGAATCAATTATTTCAAACGATATTCGAAACCACCTGGAGAAGCACAAGTTGATCAATGATCCCCAACATGGCTTCACAAGCGGGCGTTCATGTCTAACTAATCTATTAACATTCTTTTCATCAATTTTCGAATCGGTGGACGAGGGGCACAATTATGATGTGGTAAATCTCGACTTTAGCATAGCCTTCGACAGAGTCCCCCACGAAAGACTAATTAGAAAGGTAGCAGCGCATGGTATCAAAGGTAATATTCTTAAATGGATTAGGGCGTGGTTATGGGACAAGAAACAGCGAGTGAGCATAAACGGCACTAAATCGCATTGGAGCAACGTCACTAGTGGAGTTCCCCAAGGCTCAGTACTTGGACCATTATTATTATTTATTATATACATAAACGACATAGATATCGGCATAGACAGCAACATAAGTAAATTTGCTGATGACACTAAAATAGGACGTGTAATTAAACCTGACGAGGACTCTGCAAAACTACAGGAAGATCTAAACAAATTTTTCGAATGGTCGGAAAAATGGCATATGAAATTCAATGTGGACAAATGTAAAGTACTCAGTATAGGAGATGTAAACAGGAAAATCAGTTACCGGATGAACAACGATGCCATTGTGGAATCTGACTGCGAGAGAGATTTAGGAATAATGATAAGTAGGAATCGTAAGCCAAGTAAACAATGTGTTCTTGCTCGTAACAAGGCTAATAAAGTACTTGGGTTCATACAAAGGAGTGTTAGTTACAAGACTACGGAGGTCATCTTAAAATTATATCTAGCGCTTGTGAGACCTCACCTGGATTAACC